ACCCATAAAGTGTGTGGCTGAGTCAAAAATTGAATCCAGATCTCTTGAATAGCTGTCCAGTCCAGTGCCCCATCCATTAGATAATTCAGAAGTTTGTGTGAAATGGTGGAATATACAGTTATCCTAAGTATAGTTTGTTCAGTTTCAATTGATATTAATGATACATTCATAAATAATGTATAAGGTGTTCATAAATGATAAATAGATGGGTAATGTTTTCACAGGTGCCTCTGTGATTTAGGAGCCTAAGACCTATTGTCAAGTGTATTTGCCTGTTTCTGAAAATAAGTTAGGCTCCTAAGTCACTTAGGCGCTTACAAAAGTTTCACCTGTTGTAAACATGTTACAGACATGAGTTCTATGTGTTACGCATAATGCTAAGTAGAAGATGTTAGAGAGAGTTCTAACCCAGGATTGTATGCAACTGTCACCGGGTGGCTGGCCCCAGAAAATGAAGTGGATCCAGCTCCCCTGTGCCAGAACAGGCGCTTCCATTTGGCCAATTAAGAGGTAGGGCAGCACCCAGGACTTTAAGAGACCCAGTGAATCAGAGCTGCCTGAGTGAGGAAAAGAGGCAGGTGAGAGCTGCCAGATACAGAAGGTGTTTTTGGGGGGGCAGGCTGACGGAAAGGAGAGCAGCAAGAGGAGTTTGCTGGCTGTTGTCCCCAAGGCAGATAGATGGAATGATGGCAGGAACAGCAGCACAGGGAGGTGCCTGCTGGCTCTGAGCTAGAGAGGGCTGAAGGAAGGGAGAGCACTGGTGAGGTTTAGCAGCTGACGTCTCTGTATTGGAGAGCTGGACCCAGAAGAACAAAGAGAGGGTCAGGAGGAGTGAGGGATGCTCCTCTTGTGCGGAAGATCACCCATCAGAGATGCTGTGGGGGTTCCTGCTAGGAAGAGTGGGGTTGCACTCCAGCTGGAAGGGCTGTGGAGGCTGTCCTGAAAGAGGGACAGAAGAGGACCAACGAAGAATCCAGGTGTGGTGGAAGACACTGGAATGTGGTCTGTGTTACATCAATGGCCCTCAGGATATGTGATTTTAAAGATTACTTGTTTATCACCTCAGTGCAAATTATGTTTTGGGACTTGAATTTTGAACTATTTGTACTGTGTTCTTGTAATAAACCCAGCCCCATGGAGGGGTACTATTGAAGCAAGACAGCCTAAAGTATAGTCTTTGGATTACCTCAGGGGAGAAATGGGTGCACCGGTCATGCCAGGGCCTATTGCAAGAGGGCACTGCAGTTAGGGCTGCCCTCTGACAGCAACCCGTTGCCCTCTTGAATTCTATAGCAAATGATTTAAGCACTTCTTCGTTGTGTATTAACCCTTTATAAGCTATTTATAAATGTACCCGTATTATAAAGTGAGATATTTTGTTCTTTAACCATAGAATACAATGTATATTAGAATATAACTGATTTTTGTTATGACAGTAGACCTGTACAGATTCTGCTTCTTCATTTTCAGTTGATGTCTGGGCCTTTAATTGATCTACAAATATTGGAAAATGGCACTTTTGTAAATATATCTGAGCTCTAGAGATAGGAGACAGGTTTGTAACTGGATAGCAGAATGTGCAAAGCATTTAGTAGGATCTTCTCTGTTTTCCAATTGATCCATTTATTTGGCTTTTTATGGTATGAAAATCACTCTTGACAGTGCTATAATTGTATAATGATTTGGCATGATTTCTGTGCTGAACCAGTATAAAATGTCAAATTCGTTGGACAAAATATAATATTTTTTTTCCAATGAACCCTGTAAATCCATTTTCCTGCATGTAACTTATAAAGACAGGATTGATTTTTGTCATGAAAATTTCTTTATTAAAGGGGGGGAAATCTTGCTGACTTCTTTTATGTCAAGTTTGAGACTGGAGATCATTTTCTCTTTTCAGCTGAGGATTTATAATGGAAATGCTGACAGACCCTCAACTATAGTATTGCTGGTGTTTGTGTCTATAATAGGAATCTACTAACAATCAAACATTCAGCACAATTGAATGTTACCTTTTAAGACAGGGTAAGACAATCTCCCTCCTCACCTTCAGGTCCACTCTGTGCTCTGAAGAAAAATGAGGTCCTCAGAGAGCTTTGCAGCTGTGATTACCAGCACTTCCGTTCAAGGCCAGCAGAATGACTCAGAGCACTCAACATATTTACTGCAAGAATCACAAACTTGGTTGAAAATTGATAGATTCCAACATTAAATATTTATCCCATTACCCTGGGATAAATGGGTTCATGCATAATAATGTTAAACACCATTTGACTCGTTGAGCCCCCACGTTCAAGGGGACCTTGCAGACACGTGTCATAGATGCCTCTCTAAATGCTGATGTCTTCAGATTCCTTTCTAACAAGAAGGCTGTAAAGCATATAAGATATTAATCCCCAATTTTCAACTGATTTGCTCATGCCTCTTATACACTGCGTGATTCTTCTTTAAAAGGGTATTTCTCCAATTAGCTTTTGTATTTTGTTTTGTTTAATATAAAGAGAGATGTATTTTTTTTATGGATTTTCCCAACTGTTTGGAAAAGATTTTATAAAACAGGATATAAGATTATTATTTTTAACGTGGATATTATGTAACTTGACTGTGGCTTTCAAAACTCTCATACTTGTTTTAAAACATACAGTGAAAAAGAATGTGTTACTGTAGCATGTAACTCCTGCAAAATGATGAGGGGCCTCCTAAATTGTACCTGCAAAATGTGCATGGGAGCCCCTGTGTGTATGCTGAAGTGCTCATTTGCATCCTCCCTGTGTGGGGGTTTGGACTCAGTGCTTCATTTTTCCATAGTTTTGGCGCGGAAAATCCACAATTTTCATGAGTTATATATTAGGTAGAATTTTAAGAAGCACTAAATCTTTCCATTAAAGCTGTAATTTTACACTGTGTTTTGTGATATTTGCACACCCTCAGCTCAGTTCCCCATCTTCTGAAAAAATTCATCCAACTCATTTCCCTCTTGCCTTTTAGTTTTTTCTCTTTTATTTATTCACTGTGCAATGGGCCAGATTCACTGAGACCTGCTCTACATGGGAGTTTTACCAGCCACTGGTAGAGCTGCATCAGTGCAAAACTGATTTAGACATGATTTACACTGGTGCAAGCTGATTTGTATCTGTTTAGCTTATCCCAATTTGAAACTAGGGTAAGCTAGACCCGTTACTGCAGTGACATAAATCATGACTACAGTAGGGGTTTATACTTTTGCAGCTACACCAGTGACTAAAAACCAAATGTGTAGACCAGAAGTGTGAGTTGGTATAATTTACACTTCTTGCACCTGCAATGTGAATGTTACACTAGCTTAGATTCCATCTAGACCAGAGTGCCAAACTCATTCAGCAGAGAGAGCCAAACTCCACTTATCATTGTGGTCTGTGGCCTGAGGCCTTAATTTAGGACTGTGTACCCTCCATCCTCAGCAGAAGGCCCACTGACATCACTGAGAAGTGTGCCATAGTTCAAGGGTAGAACTTGGCCTTTACATAATAACTAAACTTCTAGTTATTATTATTTGTTACATACTTAATGAACTCACTGTCACTCAGTGGGAAAATATGCCCACCATTTGGACCACTTTTATTTCTATCCTTTGTTTCTCTTCCTTCTTCCCCATCTTCCTTTCTGTTTCTGTCCTTCTTCCCTGTCTTTCCTCTCTGTTCTTCACTTTGCATTTCCTTCCCTGCAGTTGCAAATTCTCAATTCCCACCTCTCTCTGGACCTTTCTTCAATACCCCATTTCACCCTCTGCAGTGATTGACATTGCAATGATGAAATTAAAGTGTCATTTACTTGACACTCTCTAGTGACGTGGATAGAGGAGTTCAAACCTGTCTCCTTTATTGTTTCAGGCTCTCTGCAGACTCAAGAAGAAAACACAGCATTGGTTTACCCTCATGTGACATTTTTAAGGTTTTCTTCACAACCAAAAGGGCTAGAATCTTACTTTGCACAAAATTTCAGCTTTCATTTTTAAAAATCTGAATATGTCAGGAGGGCCAAGGGCCACATAAATATATATTAGGCTGGACTGATCTAGCCCACAGCTGTAAAATGTGTTAACTAATGTGCTAATTAAAACACTTAAAACTAGTAGAGTTTGTCGAAATTTTCCAAAGATTCAAAATTTGGATGAAAATGTTCCCTGCATGTTTTGGTCAGTTCTCCTTAGCATCAACTGTAGACAAAAACAGTCATGTTTAAAAACAAATTCTCTGGCTGTGGTCAACCCCAATGATAAACCAGAGAGACCCTTATATTTCTTTACTTAAGATCAGTTTCTGCCACCCATACTCTTCAAGCAGTCCTGAAGTAAAGTACTGATTACAAATGGCAGAGATGGTCCAATTTATACTTCTTCCTTATACACACAGAAGAGTGGTGTCATGGCTAAGGCACTGGGCTAGGACTCATAGGATTTGTGTTTTATTTCTGACTCTGACCCAGAATCCCTATGTAAACTTGGATAGGTCACTTAACTTTCTGGTGTCTCCATCTATAAAATGGAGATGCTTCCCTCCCTGGTGTTGTGAGGCTACTTAATGACTGTCTGTGAAACACTGACACTACAATGAGAAACAGAAACACCTACGCATTAAATTAAAATAAATTGTTACCCAGAGAAACATTTTGTGGCTCAGTTTGTCTACCTGGAATATGTTTTTTAAAAGAAAGTTGTCTTGTGTAATTGTGGGATACTTTTGGCTCTGACACATTATACTGTTAATTTTTAGTTACAGCTCTTTGATTTCCTCCCCCAATTTGTATCTAATGTGGAATGAAGCATTGTGGCATTTACCCTGTTTACTGAAACAATGTGGCAGTACTTTGATGCCCCCAAACATCTGACAAATAATCTGAAGTTACTGTGTAAAAGAAACCTCATAACTGCTGACCTCATTGAGCAAGATAAACTGAGCAGAAAAGTTTGGGATTTCCCCCCCAGGCTCCTTGAACTACAGTACATGTGTTTTGCCTTGCAGTACAACCGCTACCAGCGCTATGGTGCAGAAGAGTGTGTGCTGCAGATGGGTGGAGTGCTGTGTCCTACCCCAGGATGTGGTGCTGGCCTGCTTCCTGAACCAGAAGTGAGAAAAATAGTATGTGAGCCAAGCAATGGACTGGGCTGTGGGGTAAGACTGCACTTTCCTTATAGCTCATTGGGAATCAATTGAGATTGCAGGATTTAACAAGAAGCTTAAAAAAAAACAGATTTTCTTTTCACTTTGATGACTCTGAATTACCCTTCATACCACAGTGAGATTCAGTAGCTTTCAATAAACAATTTTAATACAGTGCCAGAGCCTAGAAATCACTGTTTTGTCATGTAGAGTATGTCCATCCCAGAATCCTTTGCTTTAATTGGTTTGAGAAGTTGCTGATCTAAGTAGTTACAGTGAGCAGTTGAACTTTGCAAATGACAAGCCAAGAGCTTTGACTTTTTTCTCCCAGCACTCAGCAAAACTGAATAAGATCTAGTGCAAACCATTTATTATTGTATTAGTACCACCCTTCTCAATTAGAGAGGGGGATGAAGAGAGAGAGAGAATGACCAGTCAATGATATCTCAGTGACATTGTTTGTGTGACTATTTTAAGAAACATAATGAAGATTAATGCAGAAACCTCTGTGCTTTATTGTCTCATAAAAACTGTTTTTAACTAGGGATGTGCAGAATGAGTGGTATTTTTAGGAAAATAAAATAAGCAGCATTTGAAAATATGTTGTGCTAAGAGGTCAGACTAGGTGAATCAGTCATTTTCTTGAATAAAATTACCACTGTATCTTAAAAGAAAAGGGCTGGAGGGGAAAAAGTTCTATACACAAAAGGCCGTACTAAATGATAGGTTGAAGTGACTAACTGATGCTGATACCAAGGGAGTCCTCCTGTGCCTGATATTATTACTAAATCCATGGAGGCAGTGGAAAGAGAGAAAATATATATATTTATAAAATAGCAGCATGCTGTTGCTCTTGTCTTTTTGTGATGGAAAATGAACTTTTTACTGCGGTTTTGATGTTGCCCAAACTGATAGCACAGAAGAATAATTGTTTGCTGAACTAGGAAGTTACAGTAACTTTTCTTCTATGAATAGGTTAGCATCTCTCGACCTTGGTATAACTTCCTATCTGTCCATGCAGTGGTGCATGTAAAACACTGAGTTCCCCAGATTCTCTGAACTGGCACAGGGCTACAAAATAAAGGGTGGGGGTGGAAAAGTAATGAGAAACAAGAATGACTAAACAAAAAGAAATGCCTCAGATTAAATTTCAGGATTGGTTAAAAAGGATAAAATCTAGAGCTGTCGATTAATCACAGTTAACTCACGTGATTAATTCAAAAAAATTAACTGTGATTAAAAAAATAATTGTGATTCATTGCACTGTTAAATTTCAATTGGGATTCTATTGTTTATTAAATATTTTTGGATGTTTTTCTACATTTTCAAATATATTTATTTCTATTACAGCATGGAATACAAAGTGTACAGTGCTCACTTTATATTTTGGATTGCAAATATTTGCACTGTAAAAATGATAAACAAAAGAAATAGTATTTTTCAATTCACCTCATACAAGTACTGTAGGGAAATTTCCTTATCATGAAAGGGCAACTTACAAATGTTGATTTTTTTTTTGTTACATAAGTGCACTCAAAAACAAAACAATGTAAAGGTTTAGGGCCTACACGTCCACTCAGTCCTACTTCTTGTTCAGCCAATTGCTAAGACAAACAAGTTTGTTTACATTTATGGGAGATAATGCTGCCCACTTCTTGTTTACAATGTCACCTGAAAGTGAGAACAGGCATTTGCATGGCACTTTTGTAGCCGGCATCTCAAGGTATTTACGTGCCAGATATGCTAAACATTCGTATGCCCTTTCATGCTTCAACCACCATTCCAGAGGACATACTTCCATGCTGATGATGCTTATTAAAAAAAAATAGTGCATTAATTAAATTTGTGACTGAACTCCTTGGGGGAGAATTGTATGTCTCCTGTTCTGTTTTAGCTGCATTCTGCCATATATTTCATGTTATAGCAGTCTCGGATGATGACCCAGCACACGTTTGTTTTAAGAACACTTTCACGCAGATTTGAAAAAACACAAAAAAGGTATTGATGTGAGATTTCTAAAAATAGCTATAGCACTCGACCCAAGGTTTAAGAATCTGAAGTGCCTTCCAAAATCTGAGAGGGACAAGGTTTGGAGCATGCTTTCAGAAGTCTTAAAGAGCAACACTCCGATACGGAAACTACAGATTCCCGAACCACCAAAAAAGAAAATCAACATTCTGCTGGTGGCATCTGACTCAGATGATGAAGATGAACATGCATCGGTCTGCTCTGCTTTGGATCGTTATCTAGCAGAACCCATCATCAGCATGGACACACATCCTCTGGAATTGTGGTTGAAGCATGAAGGGACATATGAATTTTTAGCGCATCTGGCACGTAAATATCTTGCGACGCCAGTTACAACAGTGCCATGCAAACGCCTGTTCTCACTTTCAGGTGCCATTGTAAACAAAAAGCAGGCAGTATTATTTCCTGTAAATGTAACCAAACTTGTTTGTCTGAGCGATTGGCTGAAGTAGGACTGGGTGGACTTGTAGGCTCTAAAGTTTTACATTGTTTTATTTTTGAATGCAGTTATTTTTGTAGATAATTTTACATTTGTAAGTTCAACTTTCATGATAAAGAGATTGCACTACACTACTTGTATTAGGTGAATTGAAATATACTATTTCTTTTGTTTTTTACAGTGCAAATATTTGTAATAAAAAATAAGTATAAAGTGAGCACTGTACACTTTGTATTCTGTGTTGTAATTGAAATCAATATATTTGAAAATGTAGAAAACATCAAAAAATATTTAAATAAATGGTATTCTATTATTAACAGTGTGATTAATCGTGATTAATTTTTTAATCGCTTGACAGCCTTAATAAAATCACTAATAATTTTTGCTCTACTCTCTACCAAAATCATACTGCATTCTATAGCTTCATTTTTCAACATTTTGAATCTCCAGTTACTTTACCTAATTTAAAGGCTATATATATTGACCCGTTTAGCAAGCTGTTATGTTTTCTTTTAAGGACTCTCTGCTTTAGTAGCTACTGAGCAGATTATGAGACTTGAATTTTACCTGACCGGTTGTTTTGGGTTAAGAGATGTTGAGAAGAGGACACACTTCATTGAGGCAAAGATTGGAAATGTTAGCCCAGTCTGAGAACCACATTCTGGACACTCTCCTATAATCCACACCCAAGTGTGAAAGAACAAGGCAGAAATTGGTGGCTCTGAGTCTCTCTCTGACCCTGCAGGAAAAAAAAAGTCCTTAGAGAAGATTTTTTTCTGCAGAACCCCCATGGCAGGAGTCATGTGATGCATGCTATGCCATGACCTCGGGGTGTAGTCAACATGTATATAAGCTACCTGATTTCAGAATCAGGACCACAGATAAGAAGTTTTCTTTACCACAGTGGAAAAAAGGGACAAACATTTGGCACAAGTCTCTTTGCAGATAATAGTATACAGTATTGACAACAATTTACAAGTTCAAAAGAGGGCCATAAGACAAATGGTTGGCTGTTTGTGCATTCTAAGAGAGAAGGTATTAACGGTCTTTTTATATGCTTCTGTACAGTGTCCATTGCAATCAGGCTTTGATTCTTTTAAAGCAAATAAGAAGAGCAATGTGAATCTGGAGATGTTTATTTTTGACTGGAGGAGCATTATGGAGAAATCTTTTTCTCAGTTATGAACAGTGCTCCATATATAGTGGTGCCATTGATTGACCTTCAGTCTTGGCTAATCCTTCACACTTTTTATTACTCATAAAATATTAATTAATTTCCCAAGGTATTAGCATTATGCACTGTTGTTCTGCTTTCATTGCTATTCAGCAGACCTATCTCTCTACTTTTATTGCTCAGATGTAAAATGTTGACATATTTAATACAAGAAAACAGCAACAAAATATGAAAGACACTACAGATTGTGCCAACTGACCTGGGTACAGGAAAAGCTGTGATAATTAAGGCCCAGGAAAGCTTTATAAATAAAACATCTTTGTCTTGTTTTCTACCATCCTAGGATATTACTTCCTATATATCAAAGACAAGCTTGGCATTAAAAACAGAGAACCTGATGAGGTTAGAACTGAGCTCCAAGGAAAAGTATATTACTTGCTTATTAAAATGGGTGCATCAGTATACACATACAGTCCACACACTTGAAGAATTCACACCACTAATCTTAATTTATTATATTGAGATGTAGAAGAGACTTTTCAGGTTCAGATTCTCTCAGAAGATATGGTTCCTTTGCATCACTCCAGCAGCAAAAAAGGTGTGTAAAGCTAGCAGATCCAGCCAGACAGGGATTCCCTTAGAATGAAGGAGAAATCTTTGGATAGTGTAGAGCCAGCATAGCTATAATTTAAGACACTCTCTCTCCATCTTCACCTTGGTGTAGCATACATATTGGGGCCATGGCCAAGAGCAAGGGTACAAAGGTGGAGTACTACTGTGCTCCAGTGATCCTTGGTAGCAGATCTTTCTACTTGTGGCCAGAGCCAGCCAGCCGTAAAGCTGCTCTAAACTATGATGGGGCCTGGGCTGGCAGTATAAATGGCAATAGGATCAGGGAATCATAATATGTATCTTTGTAGCCCTTCCTCCTGCCCCCCTCAGCTGATTACAGAATCCACGAGTGAGAATCTCAAACTTACTGTGTGACGGGTATTACTAGTGACACGAGAAATATTGTACACTTGAAATGACAATACAAAAATTCCCCCTGTTTTTCAGCAGATTTCATGTTCTGTAAGGACCCTCCCAATGAATAACAGAGTCCTTGGAAAAAAATACATTCCCTTCCTGCAGGGTAGGTGGAATTTTAAAACTGCAGGACTGCAAGTATTCACTGAAAAATAAATTATATTCAAGTACAATGTCAATAGCTAAGGCTAGGTACTGCATGTATCAGTTCTTTTTATTCTGTTTATTTGCTTTTTAGTTATTTTTCCATAGTTAAAGAAGCATACACCAAAAGCAATCAAAATAGTCTGCACATCATATGCAGTGTATTCTCTGGGGACACTCAGAACCCAGGAAGCATGG